AAAAATATACAAGAAAAATAATATTCTAAGTGTGTCATCTCTAATTATGTTGCAATCTTAGTTACAAAACAAGCCCAACAATTTGTCACACAAACACAGTGCTTATTTGTGCAAGCCACTAAAAAGAAACTGATGGTGATTTACAAAACCCGCCCCCCCCCAAAAAAAACAGATGCTTGCTTATATGTAATTAAAATTTAATTTGCAATGAACCTGTTTCCAAAATGTTATACACAGACCTTTGCAATTTGTGTGTAAGCAGGTTGTTCTTCTGTTGGTTTCATTATAGCTGGCTGTGTACTAGGTGCACTAGGCATTTTCGCATTTCCTGGAGGAGGCTATGGAAAGAAGTAGGGAAAAAATTATAAGAAGGATTTCTTACAAAAGGATGCTTCATATTATGGAAGATTAAGAGCTCATACAGCTTTATTAGTAAAAGGTAAAAGGAGTTACCATGTATGAAGTCTCAGATTTATACCTTACCTACCATATTTACTCAATTAGAAGATGAGGTCCATCCCCCACTTACCATGTGGAAGACAGACCCTTACCTTACACTCCCACAAGTCAGTGGGGGATAGGTAGCTGCTGCAGCGCTAGCCCCAAACCTGGGGTTGGGGCCGTGGTTGCAGCTGCTGTCTATCCCCTGCTGCCTCTGCACACCCTGCCATTCCTCCTCTGCAGCCCCCAGTCTCCCCTCACTACAACATTTCACCCCATCTCTCACCCTCTGTTGCACTACTCCTTACCTTTGCTCTGTGCCAGCAGGCTCCGTCTTCACTGCATCCTACAACACAGAGTATATGCTCCAGCCTGGCACTGTAGCAAGTGCTAGCTCTGCACCATTGCTACAGGGCTGATCTGGAGCCATGTTCTACACCCTGGGCTGAAGCAAGGACAAAGCCTGCTGGTGCCAAGCAAAAGGGCGGAGGGAAGCAGGGACCAGAGGCTGTGAGGGGGCCGGGGGGAGTTGGGAGGGGGAAGAGACAGGGGAAGGGGTTTGAGGAAACCTGAGGCTGGGGGGGAGGGCACAATGGCAGGCAGCAGAGGGCAAGCTGCCTGCCTCACTGCATGCCCTACCACCTCCACACTGCCAGCCCTCTGCCGCCTGCCCTACCATGTGCCTCCTACTGCCTCCCCCCCACCCCGACCACCTGCCCCATTACTGGCCCCCTCATCACCTCTCTACCCCCACTACCTACGGGGGAAGGAGGCAGGAACCCGGACAGAGACTACAAACTTAAGATGATCCTCCAATAAACAGATTCCACACATGGAAAATTATTTACACATTTTCCATTTATAGAATCTAATCATTGGGTGGTCACCTTAAAAAAATTCAGGGTCATCTTGAATTTGGTTAAATATAGTACTCAAAGATGAGGACTACTTAAGTAGTATAAGACTTGCTTCCTAACACACCTGTATCACCTACTTAAATAATTAGTGGGATCATATACCCATTTCATTTTTTTCAAACTGATGAAACTTGTGTTGTTTCCATAATCTACTATTTAGTATTTCATCCTTTATTTACTTTTACAGTATCCACATTTAATCAGTCAGAGGCACTTGTCATTTCCTAGCCATCACCATGAAGAAAGGGTTGTATCTTGTTCCTAAATAGCTCACAAAATAAACCTGTAATTCCCCTCCTGTTCGCATCCATGTCTTTCAGTCTTGCCACAGATCTTTACCATATACATTCTGACATTGGTACACATCAGAGCAAGGTAATATACATTGGCCGGAGCAAAGTTGTCAGCCGAGCTTTGCCAAAGCAGTTCAATTCAATAGTGTGATCACCTTTTATTTTACTTTTAAAATACTCTTAAGCAGAGTCTGCCACTCAGACCCTTTTGTGTTTCATATTTAGGACGTGAATTACTTCCCTGCTTCAAAAGATCCACTGACAAAAAAACAAAGAAGTACCTGACTTTAATAAGAATGTAATCCAAAACAAAACTGTGGTGAAACTGTGCTGCTTGAATTAATTAAATTTAGACCAAATCGGAATGAAACTACAAACAAGACATTTGTGACCAAAGGAAAACACAAGACTGAAGAATGACCTGGCCTCACTTACACATACCTTTATCCCCAGCTGCCTGAACTGCAACAATGAATTTAACCAGGAATGAATCCAGCAGACCTTAGTAACCCCCCCTGCTGCAGAACATATTGCAGTGCATCTCCTCAGCAACATGAGCTGCTGCAAACACTTCCAGGTTATCCTTCACTCTCTACATTGGGTTCCTTTAGCATACCAAGTATTCATGGTGCTCAATGGCCTGAACTGAAGCATCTTAAAGGCTGCTCATGGCAATGATCAAAAGACCATGACTGACAATTCCAGCACATGAGAACTTTCTACTAATTTTTAGACTACAATCAGTCATCTTCCTCTGTGAAGAAAAAAAAAAAGTAAGCCAGTCCAAGACTGTGGAACAAGCACTATATAGTATACACAACATTTCCCTGAGGAGATGAAAAACTAAGGGGGAGGGGGAGGTCACAAGCAACAAAGCATTCAAATACTCAAATAATATAGTAATGAAAGGTCTGAAGCGCCACAGAAATCAAAGCAATATGCAATACAAACAGGAGAGACTTTGATTCTAGAGACAACAGCTTTTCTAGATGTCATAGACATTAGGGCTGGAAGAGACTTCGCGAGAGCATCGGGTCCAGCACCTCACCCAAGGGGCAGGAAATCAGCTGGGGTCAGATGACCCCAACAAGATAAGCACCCAAACACAACCTGAACATGTCCAGAGTAGGCACTTGCACCACTTCTGGCAGGAATCCATTCCAGATTCTGGAGACTCGGACACTAAAGGAGTTTTTCCTTATGTCCAGTCTAAAACAGTCTTCCAGCAGTTTGTAACCGTTGGACTCAGTCTTCCCTAGGGGAGCCCTGGTGAACAGGCCTTCTCCCAGGTCCTGATGTACTTATAGGCTGTCACTGAGTCCCCTCTTGGCCTAGTAAGCCTCCTCTTCTAAAACAGATGTCTTTTCCTGTGAATAGCCTTTTAACATGATCTGCTGGATCATGGCCCACCCTCCTTCACCTCTCCCTGAGTCAGTCCCACTACTCTTAGCTTAAGTATCCTAACTTCCTTCTTCACTATTTATCTCTTCTCTCAGGCTTCCTCTGATATTTTATCTCAGAAATAAAAATCCTTATTTTATAAGTTATTTTAATAAAACAAATCCTATTAGCAATGCTACTGCTGGCCAAACCCCTTTCCTGCTGCTGAATTTACAAGGATGGAGTGCTAGTGGCATTAACCCAGGGGTGGGCAAAATATGGCCCACAGGCCAGATCCAGCCCACCAGGCCATTCTACCTGGCCCACGGGGCCCCTAAAAAATTTAGAAAATGAATATTTATCTGCCCCTTGCTCCTGCCAAAGATGACATGAGCCAGGGGCAGTAGGATCCAGGGGAAGCCACGGCAGGCTCCTGCAACAGCAAGGCCCACCAACCTCCACCACTCCCCCACCCAGGGCCAGAAGCCCGTGCTTAGCAGGGGCTTCTGGCCTGGGACTGAGGGGCTGTTCATGTCTGTGATGGCATGAGAAATTCAGGTGGGGGAGGGCAGGGCAGGAGAGGACCACAGCAGTCACCCCAGTCTTCAGGGCCAGGCCAGCTCCTGCTAAGTCCCATGGTCCAGCCATACAGCTGGTAGCCATACGGTGCAGAGCAGACAGCTGGTGGGCAGGCAGGAAGGTGGGGAAAGTAGTGGAAGTGAGCAGTGTGCAGGACCTGCACCAATGTCACAGGGCCAGTGCTGGCAGGGCCCAGAGCAAGGCAGCAGGAGCGCAGGGCACGGGCTATTATGGGTCTATGGAGCTGGGCTGGGCCACACCAGCAGGGAGAGGGGGGAGCTGACTGGGCTCCACAGAGCCCCTGCCAGCCAGGACCCTGCACTCCTGCCACCCTGCTCTGGGCCCTGGCACCAGGAGACCAGTACAGGCACTGCGCTCCAGCCTGGCTGCCACTGGCTCCCACGTGCCCACTCATTCCCAGTGTCCCTGCCCCGGCCCCAGGGTACAGGAGGGGATGGAGTGCACAGCTCCAACCCCGCATGCTCCACACTCGCCTGCTCAAGCTGAGCAGTGGCAGGGGGGAACAAATTGCTCCTCAACGCAGGCTCCAGGACATTGGTACAAGCCCCATACTCTCACTCCCCCCACCCCCGCACTTTCCCCACTTTTCTGCCCGCC